ATTACATCTTTTATTTTCTGGATTTTTTTAAAAAAAAATTATCATTTTTTTTTTCGTTTTTTTTTACATTATTATTTTCTCCCCCCCCCCACTTTTNCCCCCCCACTTTTTTTTTTATATTTTTATTATTATTATTATTTTTCTTTTTCCCCCTTTTTTCATATGCCTGTAATTTTCCTTTGTTTTATCTTCATTTTGAACTTATATATAAGCATTTCGGTTATGGAACCCTAAGTATAATCTTCTGTCGGCGGAACCCCTATATTATAAATAAAGTTTTATTAGGGTAATAGTAAACGTTATAACTCATAAAAAACTGTTTTTAAAATATTTAATTATAGGAATGAAGAGGATTTTATATCGTTTTATCATTAATAATTAATAATTTAGGTTTTATGTCCGACAACTAAATTTGCAGTCCTTGTGCTTTATCTAGTCTAGTTTTTGGTATGTATACATAAGCTAAAAATGAATAAAATATACCGAATGAGGGTTTACTCCAAAATGAAAATTCAAAAGAACTACTGATGTAAAAAGTTATTATAAAAACATATTTCGTTATTAAGGAATTTAATTACTTTTATTTGAAAAGCGTGATAGGATATACTTATTCAATGTTTTATAATTGTTTCTTCTATTCATAATTTATTCAATAATTGTATCAGATTCATATCAATATGTCTTTCCTTTTCCAAAAATTTCGGTTATATTTCTTTTATCTCTACGTATAATGAGATAATCTTCGTGTTTGTCTGATTTTGTTTGTATATGTATGTAAACGATGTCACTTACAGCGATAATCGAGAGAAAAAAAATGTACCGGTAAAAGAAATTCTGAAGGGGGGGGGGAATGATGCATAAAAAAAAAAATTTGAATCGGGTTCGCAAGTAAGTAAATATTAACTTAAAGTAATTAAATATTAACTTAAAGTAACTAAATATGAACTTGAAGTAATTAAATTTTGAGTTAATATTTAATTACTGTTGCCAATACTTCGAACTAATATTTGATCCAGGAGTTCCCTTGTCTTCTAGATTGGGTTCAAAACTACAAGGAGTTGAACATTAGTAGTCGTAAACCCCAAATTGGGTTGATGGTTCATCAACGGTTATATACTACATATACTAGAGATGTGACTATTCTATTTAGATGTTAAATGATCCTCAAATGGATCGGTTGTTGCTGTCGACGGTGGTTGATGCCAAGATAGAGATAATAATTAGAATTTATTTTGTACATTTATGATTATAATTCATTTTAACTTTATTAATGATAAGTTATAAAAATTAACAAAAATTATTAAGTTTTCATTACAATGCTGTTAAAAAGTCACTAGTTACAAATATACGAAAAGTTACTGTATGAATGCTACGATAAACGCAAATATTGATGTCCAAAAATAGTTAAAATGTACAAAATGTTATTAATTTTTCTTTTTTAAAAAAACAGCAAAACTTAATCCTTATGTATTAATTAACTTTTAAAAATTATCTAATTAGGTTCGAGAAAATATTCGATGACATTAAATTCGAATCGAAACAGTCGTTAAATTCATATAATTTTTTAACGTGAACCTACCATTCCCACTTTAAGTGTCAATTTTGAATTATGATCTTAAAGGGTATATTTTTTCTGGGGTCTTTTTTTCAGAGGGAGGCGAGGTTCACTTTTACAGTTGTGAAATTTAACATAATTGTAAATTTTTAATCAAATTTACTTTCCTGGATGCTCTGATCATTCGGCGATAAGTATACCTTTAGTTGGACGTTAACAATAAGTTAGAGAACATATAAATTTTAAAACGAATGTCTAAACTTGATAATAAAGAGTTTTGACAAAAAGTAGTTAAATATATTACAATAACATAAATTACTAGTTTTATAATGCAATCATATCTATTTTTTTAACGTTTACATCAATGCAGAAACTCGTCAACGGGAACCAATATATTCTGCGGGGTTGTTTTGACCCTGAAAGGTGTTGTAAATTGGGAAGAATAGAGGTCGAAGAAGGGAACATGATCGTGCACACGTAGACAGTTGTGAGGGGGATTTTGAAGTGAGAGAGTTTCAATAATCACGCAAAACACCTGTCGAAGATACTAAGTTCTTTAAAAACTTTTATATTTCCAATTGGGATAATAAACAGATAAATAGAATAACTTTTCGTTAACTTCAACGTATATCATGTTAATTGCTTCTTAAAAAAAATATTACTATACATAATTGCGTTTGAATTAACATTTTATTACATCAAAATCGGGATCAATGGCACAATTCCAAAGAGTCGTTATAATCATATAATTTATAATGCAAATATTAAATTTTACTTTGATTGGCATGAGTTTAAATTAATTTCGGTTAACTATTTATATATAATTTTTAAAAATTAAAGTGGTAGATTTGCTTAATTATTATTTGTATTACATTTTTGAGTAAATTGTTTTTTTTCCTTTCATTTCTTTAAAAAATCTCCCATAATATTCTTGTATTTAAAAATGGTGCTTTTTATTTTACTCTAAACTAAACTCTTTTTTGGACTTTCGTTCTTTTTCTCTAAAATGAATATTTAAAAAAAAAAAAAGGAAGAAAAAAAAATTAAAGATGTCATAATTCTCACCCGCTAAGAAGTAAGTCATAATATTCAGCTAGAGTATTTATTATAGAAATTTGTAACAAAATCACTGATAATTTAATATGATTAGTACTAACTTAATACAGATTGCTCTCTTTAATTCCTGCAGGATGATTCGAGCTCTTGTGCTGTTCGAATTGACAATAATTACGTTGGAATTTCTAATTCATATCGATTCTCAAATTTGATCTTAATAACCTTTGATCGAATGATCAGATGTTCACGTGTTAAGAAGCTATCTTAACGATTCAAAGGATTAACCATAGCTGCTGAATCACTTGATTTTCAAGAGTGATTTTCATTTATTTTTAAAAAGGTTACGAAGTGTAGACTTAAATAGGTTTCTCTTAATTTAAAAAAAAAAAAATTGATTAAATATGATATTGACGACAGCTACATATAAATAACTTAGATAAATATATGAAAGTAATTTAAATATGTAGAGGAAAGAAAGAATATTAACTTGCTATATATAGAAGATGGAACAAGCAAAGGAATGCTAAAATGAATCTTAAAACGGCAGTGAAAAAAAAAAACATTTATTGATTTGTTAATATGCTATATTAAAAAATTAAATATGCTAATTATATTTATATTAAATATGTTAATGATACTGATATTAAATATGCTAATGATATTGAGATGAAATGTGATAATTAATTTGTGATGACTCTATGAAATTAGAAGCAAAAATGTACTTTATATATAAATAGAATTTTCCTTCTTCTAAATTTTTATCTAATTTTGTTCTAAATTTCTATTAACTCTTATCTATTTTTTTTTAACGGTGCATTTATAATATAGACTCTCAAAATATGGGTAGAAAACAAAATCTAGAATATTTTTTTAAAAAACAATGATTTTTGAACCATGTCTAATACATTTATATCTAATCTATAATCCATTATTTATTTAATATCTCGGTTAATTTTAAGATAGTAAAGTAAAATACCAGGGGGGGGAAAAAGTGCAAAATTTAAATTATATATATAATTATTCTAACAACAAAACATTGAATGAATTATGAAAAAGAAATGAATTTATATAAACTGCATTAATATTTTCCGTCGAACTTTTCAATTCAAAATTTGCTATACGTCCAACTTTCAAATTTAAATCTTCTTTTTTGCAAACGTTCCTTTTGTTCCGACATGTGCAAAAATTTATTTAGTTTTTAATTTCAAGGAACGTTTTTAATTTTCAGCATTAGTGTATACCGAAAACTAATTCAGAACTAGACAATTAAGTCCCGCGAAATGTAAATTTAATTGTCTGATATAAAATCAATTCTAATTGATTGATGAAGATGATAATTGATGATGAGGATTGATGAAGCTATGAATTAAAATCATTCTTCAGATTAAATATTTTCTGAATTATTCTCTAATTATTCTATTCTAATGCCCTTTTATGGTAATGTGTTTGAAATTGCTAATGAATTCGATTTATAAAGTTAGGGTTCCGCTACATGAAGGACAATCATCTTGGGTTCCATATCTGAAAGAACTTGGAAACCGTTGACTTGATCAAAGGAAGCTTATTCTTTCCAAAACGCGTAGTTTCTTTAATTCTGTATATGATGTCAGAAGAAGTGTTAATAAATACTCTTCTAGATCATTATAAAAAGGAACTAATTTTTGTGCAAAAAATTATGTCTTACACTAAATGTTTAATTAAATACAACTCAGTGAAATAGTATTTATTCCAATCTTAATCAATGCATATTTTTGTTAATTCGTGCTTTATGCCTTCTCTTTATAGTTCAATTTGCTAAGAATCCACTATAGATTTAACAATTACTTTCAAAGTATCAAAAATAAATATCAAATTCAGTTCATGTTCGCGTGTGCCGAACATATGTAGCTTTAAAGAGAAAGAGAAGAAAAAAGAATAATTCTCACTTTTAATTTTAAGTTTGTAATAGCCGCAAGAATCCTGTTGGAGATTTTTTCACAGCATTTTTTCAAAATGTTAACATTTAAAGTAAAAAAAAAAAAATTCGAAAAAAGTAAAAAGTAATCGTGAGGAATTTAATAAAAATTTCTTTGATATTTCCGGTTCCAAAACTGGAAAAAATAAACAGAACTTTTAACGACATACCAGTAAGTATTTTTTATTGTTGCCAGGAATCGAATTTAATTGTAAAACTCCTTTGTTGAGTTAAATTATAACTGTAAGACAATTATTAAAATCGCCAACGGGAGCGGAGAGAAAATCCATGAAATAAAATTTATAACGGTTTTCTTGTTTAGGTAGTCATTAATGATGAGATGAAAATAAAGAAACTTGCAAAACCGAAACTTGGGTAGAATTAAAAACAAAAATTCATCCCTCTATCAAGGTCAAAAAAAAAGTGTAAACAAACCTCACGCCCCCAAGTGTTGTATTTCGTACAGCCTTATCCTATGTAGAATTAAAAAAGTACTTTTCACGTCTGGACGTGACGAGTAGCACCAACACACATGGAATTTCAAAGCCGGCGCATGATCTAAACAGAAAATTTACGGCGAGTCGTCTGGGCATGAGCGAATGTCAACCAATGACAGCAAACTGCTCACGTGCGGGAGGCATGATCAACATTCACTAAGTAGTAACTAAATCGCCAGATTTGGCATCAAAACATAAGAAAAGAGAAACGAATTTTGATTGCGCAATAACAATATCATTGTATTATTGTCAAAAATCCGTAATGTAATGATCAAATATGTATCGAATTATTTCAGATAATTTTTTTTTAGAAAGGACATCATTCATCAAGTAGTTATTAGATTAATATCAAACCTAAAAAATTTAAGTTCAAGTTATTTTATTCATTTATTTTCTTAGTACCAGACAGCTCAGTTCTAATTTTTCACTTACTTATAAATATTATTACTGATTTGATTACTTACAGTCAAAATTATTAAACTAGTAGTTTTTTAGTAACTAATTAAGTAACGATCTAAAATAGCTCGTCTCGCAATCTTTTTTCTCAGCTTTGCGAGGTGAATTTGTAAAGTTTTGGCGAAGTTTGGCGTATTTATAAACTGAAGTCGCTTTGGCTGCATTTTAACTCGCGTAAACAGTAAACCTTTTCAAATGTTACGTTTCCTATGCGTTTTATGGAAGATAACATGAAGTGTTGTAGATCGTAGTACGTTTGTTGTTTAAAATTGTGAACTCAAATTTTAATTTAATAATTAAAACAAAAACGTGATCCTTACTTAGATGGCATGTCGCAGTATCATACCATTGTTCATTTAGTGGCTGGCGGGTATGTATTGAAAGAATATTTTCAATCAAGGATTTCTAAAAAGTGTTTTATAAATAGCCGAATGTTATTATTTATGAACAGAGATAAGTTTTATGAATTCTATTTGACTTAGCGTTCCTAAAATAAGTAGCTGCCTGGACATATTTATTAAAAAATTATTATAAATATTGTTTGACTAAATCTCTACCTCGTTTTTACAAAATAACTTTTTACTTAAGTGAAATGGAATTGATTTCAAAACCTTTAATTTCAGCCAAATTGTTATAATAATATTAATAATTATTAGTTTTCATGTATTGCTTCAACTGTTAATAATATTTCTAAACGTATAAAGAAAAATCTCATAACTAATTTACATAGTTTGATCTTAAATCTCTTTTAATTGATTATTTATTATAAAAAAATTAGTGAATGTTTATATTTGAAATATTATAGTTAATGTTTGTCTTTGTGTTGATAAAGCTAAATATTAATTTTTAGATTAACAAAATTACATTTTCTATTCACATTGTATTTCTTTCATATTCAACAGAATTATTGTTCTCAACAGAATTATTGTTCAATAATCAACACAGAAAATTTAAATTGTTTTAGAAAATAATGAATAATAATTAATTTCAACCAATATTGTATGATACTTTACAACTGCAATAATAACATACTTTTTCAAAAATTTGAAAACGTTATAAAATGTCTACATTTAATGAAATTACTTAATTGTTAAAAATCAAAGATCATGATAATTATTTCATTAATTGTTTGTTATTTTTATGTTTTAATTTTTTAGTCTGTATGTGGTTAAATGTTATTTTGACAGGATGATATTAATGTGCTATTCTATTTCTTTTATATTTGTTTGAGCTGTAATTCATGTTATTTTAAACTTTCTGTAAATACTATCCATTTACTTTAAAAACTAGTTTCTGCCCTATTAACTTCTTATGAATGTAGGAATTGAATTGTTTTAACAATTAATTACCTAATTTAAACTGATATTAAAAATTATACTTTAGTTGTCTTTTTATAACGTTAAGTGTTTTTCAAAAAATAGATATGTAATGAAATTATTAAAAAAAATGTAAAATTATTGATATCAAAGAACCTAGTGTTTGTTACTTTTAATTAATTGACTTTTTTTTTAATAAGTTATCTGTAAAGTTTGTTTACAATTTCAAAAATTACATTATCTTTTTTATCCCAAGAGAGAATTTTGAAGTGTCGTGACATAATATTTTTTTTAAATTACATGGAATTTATTAGAAATTTAAAAAAAAGAAAAAAAACTGATTGTTTTATGCATTGGTTGTTATTTTGTCTTTAATTTTATTTACTTTTTGTGATTAGGTATCTGTTATTTTGTCAAAATGACACTATTCACTTTCTATTTCTGTAATATTCAGGTTTTCTGCAGACATTATTTTGCACTTTCCAAATTGCTTCTAATGTCATTTTATCATTTTAATAACTAATTTCTGTGTTATTAACTTCTTTTCAACTATGGAAAGGATTGTTTTAAAAGATAATAAAATAAGTGAAGTTAGAGCAAATTTTGCAATATAGTTACAATGATTACTTTTTTTTTTTTTAATTTTGAAGTATTGTCCAGGAACTAAAGATGAAAGATTATGTTATTGTAATTTTTTTTAAATACTATGTATAAATAAATAAAATTTGATTAATAAAATGAGATTTTTTTTTTTAGACTGACATAGTATAGTTACAACTCTATTATTAGAATTATAATTCAGGTTCTCTATAATTATGTACGTGTTTCCTAATTGTTTGAAGCAAAAAATAACTATTTTTTTTAGTTTTATTTAAGTCAATTTTTACATAATTAATAAGGAATAATTTCATGTAAGGAGTAAAAGTTGATGGAAATACTGCATAATAATTAAAAACTTCAACTGATATTTAACGTGCCTCTGCAGTAATTTTTAATAATTAAATTACAAAATAACATTCTACAAAATTATGTAAAGATTACTATACATCAGACAGTTTTATTAACTATTATTGTGGTATTTGCTGATTTATGTTTATTCTTTGTCTTTACTGTGCTGTTATTAGTAAATTGTAAAAATAATATAATAGATATTGAATAGTTTCAAAGAGGTTTATTATTTAAAAAAATTCTATTGAAGTTTGTTAAATTTGTGCGGCTGATTTCAAAGATTATATGAAGGCTGTTTAAAGTTAGTAAAAATAATGTATCAAATAGTTTTAGTGAGTATCAGTTTAGTGAGTATCATCATTTTAGTGAGTTAATAGTTTTAGTGATGTATCAATAGTTATAGTAATAGTTTTAGTTCTAGTTTAAAAAAATGTATTCAACTTCATTAAATTTGTACAATTTAAAATATAAATATGTTTCTAATTCATAAAAAAAGCTCAAAAAAGAAAAGAATTTTGATGATTACAATATTACAAAAACAACTTAGTTATTGTTATGTTTACTCTGTTTTTTAAAGTATGTAGGCCATTTTCTATTCTTTTGGAAAAATTTTGTTTTAAAATAAAGAATAGTTTACGAGTTTCTAGATTTTAGTGCTTTTTCAAGTAAGAACGTATATTTATAATGTTTCAAAATTAGGAGTTTTAAAATTTTTCCAGATCTCTAAAAATATTTGTAGATTTAGTCATGTTAGTTTACTACTTCAATTTATAATTTAACTTATATCTTAGTTGTCTGAGCAAAGCAGTCTTGAAGTTTATATTGAAGCATTCAAGGTTAACCTAAGTTTTAACTAATAATAACACTGAATAACTGAACAATATTATCATGTTAGTTTATTACTTATATTAATAATTTATTTCTTAGTGCAGGAAGCAAAGCACTATTGAATTTTAAAAGACAGTATCAAAGATAAAAATCGTCAATCTGAATTTTTAATAATAGCATTGAATAATTAAGCAATTTTATTCTTTCTTATAATTGTTTAATTTACCATACTTTAGTCAAACCTCTGGAGGGGACCACTCTCTGTTTTAAAGTAAAATGGTCGTTAATGGAGGTTGGTCGTTCTTAGGGGTTACCTCCATTGATTTCAAAATGTTATCGAAGGTACATGATTTTTCTCAAACAATTTTAATTTTGGTCAGTGTCATTTTCTTTGTGCAGATGTGACACTTGTGTTTGCCTAAATAAACCGGATCAATGAATAAATCTATAGAAATGGTCTTTTCTGGAGGTTTTGCTGTATTTGTAAATTTAATAATTAGAATAATAAATTTAGTAATTTATTTAATAGATAGAGTAATAATTTAGAGATTAGAATAATAATTAGTATAGTAAATTTAATAATTAAAGTAGCTTCATTATTTTAACGTTAGTATTCTGTATGTGTGAAGCACATTATGAGTCAAAATGTATTGATTGTCAAAGCAATATACAATTTTATCTTAGTTTAAGGCTTAATAAATGGAATGGAAGTATTGAGTTGATTGCAGATTTGAATACTTTGATTTAAAATAGTTAATACAGTTGGGAGCCGATTATCTGGAACGATTGGGACCATCGCTATTCCGGATAACTGATTTTTCCGGTTTTCTGAATCGCTACAAAATGCCGTTTTTTTATTGTTAAACCCAACTAAAAAATCAAGAAATTTGGAAATCTTAAAAATAAGAAGAAAAAACGATGAAGTAATATAGTAATGATTATTTCCAAAATGATGGTAAGGTAAACATCTTTAAAAAAAGAAAAAAAAATCGTAAAATCTTATGAGGAAAAAAAAAAAAATTTTTTTAAAAAAAATGGCGTGAAAATTTATCGAATTTCGTTCCGGTTTTTTGATTTCCGGATAACGGGTTCTATACTGTACCTTTGTTGTAATCATTTATGCTATTTCAGGAATTTTAAATCCTTTCAGAAAAATAATCTTAAATTTTATCTTAAATATAGACTTGGTGGTACAGCCGGTGCTATTGCTACTTGTCCTTTAGAAGTAGTTAAAACTAGACTTCAGTCTTCTGTTGCAAATTTCGGTGCCTACTCCTCACTTTCTACCAGCAGAAGTCGCTTTGCATCTCTGCCACGATTTGACTTTTGCAACTGTGAATCCTATGAACGGTTTTCTCCTGTTATTACTTCTGAAGTAGCTGCAAGACATCAACAATCTGTGGGAATCTGGCGTTGTTTAAAGTGAGTTTAACTTTTTGTGTAATATTTACCTTGAGTTTTTTAAAGTGCTCAGTTTGACCTATTGTGATGCATTTATTTTTAATTTTGTTTAAATTAAAGCGGTCAATTCATGGGTATTGCTGGGTTTCCATTTTCATAGATGAGAATTCATGAAAATTTTCTTAATTTGTCTGTAATATTCAAGGGGACATTTAAAGAGATACCATATTATTTAAAGGGAACATGTATCAACCTTCCCCCTCCTTTTGCCAACAATGCCCATGAATGATCAAATTTTTTTCTTTTGTGCTTAATTTTTTTATCAGTTCATCTAATTAGATCATAATTAACCATTTCATTGAGAAAAGTACATTCGAATTTAATTTAATAATACTAATCTGATAAAAGTACCAATTTGAAATATTGAATTTAATAAAAAAAAATTTCACAATTTTGTTTAATATGCAACAAATAACTTTATATGTTTTATTTTCTGTGACTTATATAGCTTGTTTCACGTTCTGTAAATTATGAAGAATTTTAATTTTTATATTTAATTTAAAATGTTGATTTTTTTTTCACTTTTGAGGATTTCTCAATTGATTTTAAATTATATTCAGTTTAATATGTATGTATTATAATTTATATTAAATTTGTTTTCTTGTTTAATAAGGATAGTACCATAAAATATTGAGTTTGATCATAGTAAAAATAACTTAAAGTTGGTTGTACTTAAATAATGAAATTTTTTATTGCTATCTAATCTATTTACATTTATTTTGGCAGCATATTGATTTAAAAAAATTATGTTTGACTTGAAACTTTAAAATAAGCAAATTAAATTTTTAAAATAGGCAAATTAAATTTTTAATTTTTGCAACTCATTTATTTTGATTTAAATATTTAGTTTAAAATGTTCAGTATCTTTTTTTTTTAAAATAATTCTCAACATTTTTTTTTGTTTTTGTATTTTGTTATATTCTAATTAAATTATTTTGATAGTAGCAGGTTAAAATATTGAACTAGATTATGTTTATTCTGATTTAAATGTTTAATGCTTTTGAAATGCATGTTATAAAATATTTCAGATTATTTTGAGCAATAATATAAGATATCAAACAAGCAAATAAAATTATAATTTAGATATCTTGTGTTTGTTTAAAACAAGTCAAATTGAGATTAAGTTAAATTTTAGTTTTTATAACAAATGCCTTAATTTTTAAATGTAATCAAAGAATGAAACTAATTTACAAATTCAGAAAACGACAAAATAAGTAAATAACATTTAAAATAATAAATCAAAATAGAAGTTTTTTAGAAACATTCCTTAAATTTCTTAAAGCAATAAATGGAGAAATACTTCAAATACTTTATTTAAATTTGTTATTACTATATCTAAAGGCCACACTTTAATTTATGAAATCCAATTCAAATAAAATATTATTATATACAATTTAAGTTCTTTTTAAAATTTTAGACCAATTAGGTTTTTATAAATCTTAACTTTTTGTTATACATTTGCCTTGGCACTGATGTTCAAATAGTGATAACTGCTTTTAGACAGTAAAACTAATTTTTCATGCTAATTTATTTTGTACAAAATTTAATTATTTTAATCTTCTAATTTCTTAATTGGATGTTTATTTTTAAACATGATTATTAAACTGCATAAAGGAGAAAAATACTTAATATATCACAGTTTAGTTATTCTTATTTTGATTTACCCAAATTCCTATCTATTTATTTTTCTGAAACAATTTTATGATGTCAGTATTTTATTTTTCTGTCTCTTTTAGATTTGCCGATTATTTATCCAATATTCATTTTGTTTTCAAAGCATCAAATATAACAATTTAATTCCTTTTTATATATCCAACAAAAATTAAAATTTTTCTGTCTGTTCAGTCTATGAAATATATGAGTTTAGATTCTTCATCATATTTGAATTTTTTTTTTCTGTGACTGGATTATTTGTTACTGTATTAATCTATGCTTTAACTCTTGTTAAAATTGTGTCCATTATGTCATGGATATATTGTTGATGGTTTTTAATAAAATAATTTAATGGAATAATTTTCTTTGCTAACTAATTATCTAGTGAAAGTTGTTCATCTATGTTCTTTATTCATTCTATTTTCTTAGAAATAAAATTAAAAAAACTGTAACCTATAATGCTTAAATTTTGAGTTTTTCTTTTCTGTATTTTTATCTTGTTACTATCCAATTTACTTTGGTAGATTTTTGTCTTTCAATATTTTATTTCCTAAATGACATTTTTCTGAGTTGTTTTCAGATTGCTTTTGGTTATGAAGATATTAAAAATTGTTTGTCATACAAATATGTATTCTTTATTTATTTGGGAGATAAAAGTTTGATAATTTACTATCTTTTTCAAACTTTGATTGATTATGTTATTTACTTTGATAATTTTGCTGAACAATTTCCATTTCAAATCAACTATCTTTACCATAAACTAATTATCATTTTTTGTAGAGATAAAAAGTTATTTTCTTAGACATTGACATTTGAATTTATTTATTTTGTGTTAAATTGGAAAGTTTATGTTAAATCACTTTTATCTATTTAAGCTTCAATACTCTTTTTGCTGTTCCATATTTTCTTTGTTAGTTTGCTTAGAGGGAATTCAAATCTTTTTTGTGGCCTCAACTTCGAATAAGTTAATGGATAATTCTTATGAATGCCTTAAATTATATTTTATAGTTTTTGCTTACAACCAAGATTAGTTTTTCAATTTTTAATGTAGTAAATTCGGGGATTTGAAACATTGTGTGAAAAATGACTTTAATAAAATGATGATCATCACAGGAAATGCATAAGATCAAGATTATGATAGATACAGATTATCATAAAACATCATATTATGTATATAGAATGATTATTAGTAATTAGTAGCTAAATATGATTATTAGTAAAATGGAACAAAATGTTTTAAGTGTTTTTCTTTATTACATTGTAGTTTCTTACATTCAGTTCATTGTTTGCAAATAACATCATCCATATGTTAACTTATAATTCTTACAGCAATATTTTAAATAATTCTTTTTACAAAGCAGATTAAAATCTTAACAAATAAGTAATATTCAATTCATTATTTTCTAAAACTTAGGGAACATTCTTGCTGGATCTGATTCAATTGGTTTGCCTAATGCAGCAATCAGATTCCCAATTTTCCAATGCTTATTTTATATGAATTTTCAATGAAAAAAATTCAGTTGGCCCAGAGCTAGAAAATATTTCAAATAAAAGTTCGTTATTAAAATATTTTATTTAATACTAAATCATTTGTTTACGGAAAATTAGAAGAAATTAGTTCCACTATATAATCTTAGATTAAAACTCATTGAACATCTTCAACTCATGAAGTATAACAACAGTTTGAACAACTTTAATAAACCAGAGCTTGTTTCACTGGTTCTGTGTTATCAAACTTTTCAAATCTTTCTAATTTGATAATTGTAAGGAAATAAAATGATAGTGAAAATCTATTTAAAAAGTTAATTATTAAGTGTAGTTATAAATTTAAGAGCATCAAATTCTAAGCTTTTATTTTAACATTTTAGTGAGAAACAAATTTTTAAAAGAATGAACAGTATTAAAAAAATGAACAATATTACAATGTTGCCCACTTTTCTCTAACTTTTAAATCATTTTTCTAATAGTTTTTCATTTTCTGTTTCATATGAAACTATTGATTTAGAAACTGACTTTTAATTTCTTATTCACCTTTGTACCTCTTCTTTTTCTTTTTTCCCCCCTATTATGTTCTGAATTTTTACTCAGTATACTTTCCAGGATACGAAATATTCGTTACAATTTTGATAAGTAAAACTTTTAATTTAGATGAGTATTTAAAAATGAGTCGAACATAATCATTATTTTTATCAATCAATTCACCATTATAAAACCAAATGTGACTGGTTAATTACAATCATTTTTTATCTATGATTTTCCTTTTTTGTATAGTTTTAAAATAGTGTTCAATTTTTAGGGGGTAGTTGGGAATATAAATATATCACACAAATAATATAATATCACATAAGAAATTTTGATATAATCTTTATCTCAATCAAATGTATATTTTAGTAAAAAAAAAAAAAAACTAAGAAAGAATTATGCTTGTTACATTTATAAATTTTAAGCGTTGATTATTTTTTAAATTAAAATCTAGTTTAAAATTCTATAAAAGGATAAATTAGATCTTTTTAATTTTATTTGCTTAATTTTTTATTATTTTGAACTAGTTAAAATATTTTTATCGCCTTAATTATCATTGAGTACATATAATAATTATTATTGATGCTGATAGTTTTATAATGTAGCCACATCACTTGTAAGCAATAGCCCATTGTGCAGCTCTAGTGCGACGTAAATGAACAACAACAACATCACTTGTAGGCTGTAAAATTTCTCATTGACTATTTGAAGCTTCTATTGGCAATGAACTTTATCTTATTCATTATACTGCATCTTAAACGAAGAAATTTTAATATAATTATAAACCATAGAAGTTGTTTAATACATATAAAAACAGTTATGCTACCATATTTTGTTTATTACATCTACACCTTGATTTTGTTTAACTCAATAATTAAACTATTTTCTCAAATCTACTTAAACTAGTGGATATCATATTTTTGGCATATGATAGATAGAACACCTACCATTCATTGAATTTTATTTCAATGCATACTGGCTAACTTTCAGGAGTAAAGCTTAGAAACTTTTATCCTTATTATTTCCTTTAGAATTTTTTTTATCATAATCATTGATTATTTTTTAAAAATTCATCTTATTTTATGTAAAGTATAGTTTTTTTTTAGAATTTATTTTTATGAATTTTACTCTAAGATAAGATTTAATTTTTTTTAAATGCATTTTAATGTAATTTTTTTAAAAAAAACTTGAATTTTTAACCTAAGAATTTAATTGCATTTAGTAATTTTTACCAAAGTGTCTATAATTGTTCTAAATATGAATTTTTTTTACTAAATATTTTAGAAGGAAGGATATTTTTATTCTTTTGTTTATTTAATCTAATTTTAGAAGTCAAATTATGTTAATTAGTATAGTTAAAATTAAGTTAATTGCTGTTTAGAATGTAAATATGTTTTTAGTTGTTCTCAAGTTCCACTTTTTGAAAGCTAGCTAGAATGCTTGAATCAAAATTATATTTTAAGTCAGATATGATATGCATGTCCTGTTACTTGTGTTTTTATAAATCAGGTGGGAGATGTTAACAAAGCGTCTCCGGAGACTCTGTCAAACAAAGAAGTCGTAATTTTCACACTAAATTTTCCTGTTGGTAAGTTTCAACAAAAGGTTGGTTCTTTCCTCATCTAAATTACATTATATTATAGGATTTATCTCGATTTTTTTTTTAAATACAATGAATTTTTGTAAAAATGTAGTTGCACAAAGCATTTATCAGTAGAATTTTTAGATTATTATGTTTTTTTTTATTTTCTGTAATATAGATTGTCCAGATAAATACTATAGGAAATTGAAATATATATATCAGGATGCATAAAGTTTTTAAAAAGTGCTTAAGGTGCTTATTTTCTATTTTTGTTATTTAAAAGCTCTTAAAGAAGCTTTTTTCATTGGGTGTTTTTAAAAACTGCTTAATTTTCCCTTTTTCAAAATGAGATTTTTCCCATACCATGTTGATTTTTGCTATGAATTATACAAAAAGACGCAGTTCACATTGCTCTATTCAACATTTTCACAATTAATTCAACCTCAATCTATTTCGGCGTATTGTTGGTCCGTAGCGTATCAAAACGCTTTAAAAATTTCATTATTTTTGACAATTGTCAAAAACAATGCCAAAAGCTTATTTATTTATTATTTTTTTGACACGATGGTTAAAATTAGATAAAACCGTCAATTGTCAAAAACTTCTCCTCCTTGCCTAATTATGATATTTTTTTAAAGTATATTATTTTAAGAGTGCTTGAAAAGTACTTATTTTTTGTTGAATAATTTGGCTATGCACCCTGATATATGTAATAAAAAAAGATGAAGCTCTGTCAAATTTTTAAAAATTTTAATCCACATTGCTATTATGTAGGTCTTCAAATAAGAAATCGCAACCTGGTGAGTCAAATTTAAAGAAAAAAAAAGGTAACTTAAATTAAAAACCAAATCGTTTCATTTTCACCACCTTTTTTCCGCTAAAAGTACATCAATGCAGGATTCTGGAAAGCTGAGTTATCATTAAAAAGTTCAATATCTCCATTCAAAATTTTGATTTTCATTTGTGATGGAAAAATTTACGTGGAAGTGTAGTTCTTTAGCGATTCACATATTTTAAAGCCGTAATTTATTTTGCCTCCCCAAATATTTTTAAATAAAGCTCTTTAAAGTCAATATTTTTGACTAAATTTGGGCACATATTCATATTTTTATTGTTGAATTAACTTTTTATAGCTGTGGATTATTTCTTATGTGGATTGTTTTTTTAAGTATAATTTAATTCAAGCATAAAAGAGGTTGCTAAAAGTGGCTATTAAATAAAAAAGACCTATGGTTATCGGTCACCGACTCTTTAGGTTTGAGGAAAAAGTGTCTACTAAGATATTAATTATAAATTGATAAAATTAACTTTATTTACTTTTGGTATGAAACATGAATCTTTGTGTTATTGTATGCCACAAATTTTGCTTTTAGCAACTTATTATAATAAGAAAGAAATAAGTTTTTTTGAAATATGAAATTTTTTTTTTATCCTTGCAATGATACTTCAAGAAATATTTTCATGATACATCATTAAATTTATCTTTCACACGTTTAATGCCATGCTAATTTTACATGGCTTTCCTGTCTCGCCAAAATAATTTTCTCAGTATGTATTGCATTAATTTCTTCAAACCATTTTAGTAACAATAATAATATATAAAAATTAAAAGCATTAAAAGTTTGCTTGAATTATTTGTATAATCTTGGCCCTGTGGCCTTAAGAACAAACTCAGTGCCGGTCACCCCTGTGGCCTTGTGAACAAACTCAGTGCCGGTCACCGGTGATGCCCATGGCATTCAACGTGTTAAATAAACATCTAATTATGATTAATTATCAACAGCATTGTTATTGCAAAGATACCAACTGCTCCGGACACGCCGAAATAATTAAAAAACGGTAAATAACTACTAAGTAAATTTTGCAAATATTTGACTACTTTTACTTGCTTTTTAAAAGGTGACTCAAGTACTACTATAAAGTGGTGAATTATATAAGCCTACGAATTATTTAGAAATAGTGGTGGATAAGAATCTACTAAATTTAATTTATTAAATCAAGAGTCAAAATTGATAAACTACCACTTTAAAATATATATTTGCTCTCCGGAGCAAGTTAGCGTATCTGTTATTGCGATTCTTGTCAACAACGATAAATATCAAATACAATAGTATGTAAAGTATTATTGATATTAATAATTCTTGAATTTAAATTATTGTTATATTTCCAGCTCTAATCATTATATTTTCCAGTGGTAGTGGAAAGTATTGGTCTTAAACAGAATTATATGACATATATTTGCTACTTAGTGTATACTTTATTAAAGCAATTAGCTGTGTTTTTTTTTTTTTTTTTTTTTTTTTTTTTTTTTTTTTTTTTTTTTTNTGTCTGTTTAAAGCTTTATTTTAAATTTTTTTAGCATCCTTGTGAGTTTTCAGGTTTTGCAATCCAGATTACTTTATATTATTGTTTTAAATTTCTTGGAATGTTGTGTATCTGGACAACCTATCTGTATGCTTGTAAACTACTGTTAAATCTGCAGAAAAACATAAAACTTTCAAATTAGTTAGTTGTTTTCTCAATAGTTAAATTTAGCCTAAGAATTTTTTTTTGGTTCAGTGATGAATATTTGCGCTTGTATAACATTCAACGACGGTTATTTTATTGATTTATTATTTTTAAAATATAACAATTTGGGGTAGAGAATAAACAAACTGAGATAATTGTAAAATATCAAAAAAAGTGTTTGAAACACATATCTTTTTAATCCAATATTATTTTTTTTTCATATCAAGAAAAGATGATTCATCCTTTTCAAAGTGGTGATTTAAGAGCTATTTCGGTCAGTGAAGCACCATAATCATATGTGGATCTATCATAAAAGTTAAATCTTTCTTTAATTTTCTATTGGTTGTAAATAAGTGAAAGATTTTCTAGAATGCCTTATTTTAAGCATTTTAAAATGACTGGCTTCAGATTAGGTGAATAATTGAATTAGGTGGATCGTTGAAGATAATTATCTTCTTTCTAAATTTTGGAATTGTAGTAGCGACATGGAATATATGGCGATGTATGCTTCCAGGAAATAAATTGCTTCTTGCTTTGTTCATCTCTGTTAAATAATAATGTACTAAAATGTTTCATTAATTAAATATGCTCATTTAAAATTATGAAATCTTTAAAAAAATTATAAAAAATGAATTTTAAACTTTTCTCTTCCTTTCTTTTTTCTTCTTTCTTATTTATTTATTTTGACATCAGCAATTACTGCCAAAAATAAGAGTTTCTAAAACTCCCTGCTTTAGTGTTATCAGCATTGAACTAATTTAATTTTTTAATTCTAAAATTATTTTCTCAAATTGTGTGCTGCAAAATGTGAGAAACTTTCTTGCTTGTGTACATGTCTAGTACCCTATAGTTTGTCTAAAGTAAGAACTCTCCTAGCCAAACAAATAAGTTCTTCAGAACTAATGTAATTTGTAACTAATGTAATTGTACCTGGTATATCTAAGATTTACCAGTTCTTGGTCCAATCTTCGATTCATGGAATTTTTGTAACTAACTTTACTATGCTTCGTCTCTGATAATTCTGAATATTATTTTTTTCTTTTGCATTTTATAGTGTGATGATGTTAATTTATAATATTTTTTATTTAAATTCACAGAAAAATGTCTATGTAGAAACTATGGTTTAAAATAAGGATTAGCAAAACTCATGATTTCATGGTTCAAAAAAGAAGAAATATACTTATTTATTTGATTTAAATCAAATTTTTGTTTTTTTTAAATCAGATTTTTTGAAATATTTGTTAGCTGAGTCATCTAATAAAATGTATTAACGGTATTATTTAAAAATTGTTCAAGCTAAACATCCTTAAAATTTAGCGTGATTAGGTAATTAATCAGTTCGATATTAATAGTTTAGATACTTTAAATAAAAAAAGTATGTATTAGTTTCTCTCGGCAGAACAAGTCTTTCACCACTATTGCAAAACACGTAACTATATATTTAATATTTAAAAGTACTTAAAGTATTCAAATAAACATAAAACTAAGTGGGTGTAATTGAAATATGTAAATTCTCAGAAAATTGTTTAACATAGAGCTAAAGAAAATTATAATTTAACAGTTTAATGTTACTCTTATCTACTTTTAGTCTCTAATTTTATTTATCTATTAATCTGTTTTGAAATATAATAATTTACCTTTTAATTATTTTTTTGGATAAAATCTTGATTATGAATGAAATTATGTAAATATTTTAAATTTAAATGATTTATCAAAGAAAATCAGTTATTTGAAGTCAACTGTGATTTTCTTTTAAAAAAAATCACAGTTGATTTAAATCAATGATTTTTTTTATAAAGAAAATCAATTGATTTAAATGGCGATTTTAATCAAGATTTAAATCGAGATGTAAATCATGCTAACCCTGTTTAAAATATGTAATAAAACGGAAAATTGGGTGTGTTTTTGTAAAAAAGTTTTTGTATAATAATAACTCAGTCAAGAGTGTTAAAGCCAGCATCGCTGAATAGATTCCATGATGTTACATTATTTTCATTTAGAATTTTATTCCTTATTTTATGTTACTCAGATTTTAAAAAAAAAATCAGTTTTTAATTGTTTCAATTCATTTTAAAGTAGTAGTACAATTATATGCTTTTCTTTTTAGGCATATTGTAGAAACTGAAGGAGCTAAAGCTTTATTCAAAGGTCTTGGTCCGAATCTAGTGGGAGTTGCTCCATCCAGGTATACCTCATTTTAAGAAAATGCTGAGTTAAATATTCAAAGTTTTGCTAACTTTAAAATTATTATTTATTTCATATTTATGTTTTTTACAGTTTTTGTTTTCATAAAAGAATGTCAGAAATTCTATGTTTATTAGAATCATTTTAGTAAACAATTTCAAAAATTTTCAGGGCTATTTATTTCTGTACATATTCCCATGTCAAAAACTTCTGTAATGAGCACATTACTCCTGACACCCCTCTTGTGCACATCTGTTCTGCTGCAGCAGCTGGTAAGATTTTTTTTTTTTTTAATCTGAAAACTAAAAAATTCTGTTATCACAAATTTTTCTAAAAATCCTATTATTTTCAATGTTTAGAAAATGTTTTTTATTTGTCAATTTAAATTTATTTTCAATATTTTCAAAGCAATAATAATCAATTGTAATAATTTTAAATCAGTAATAATCTAGTCTGTAAAATCATCAAAATACAGAACTCTAATTTCCAGTTGTTCAGATTAGTTTAAGGAAAGAAAAAAAAATTAAATTTTGACATTCACTTGTTTTAAGTTCCAATAAATTAGTAAAAAGTAAAAAGAAAAAGTAAAATTAGTAGCAAAGTAAAAATAAAGTGAAGCTATCTTGTAATAAGTTTCTTTTGTGATATTATTTCTGATAAACTAAGTACTTTTATTTAGATTGGTTCTTGTCTCAATCTAGCCTCCCTCTCAATCTTTTTCTTTTCTTTTGTGTATAAGATGCTAAAATTTTCTTCTTAGCAGGAATTATTTTAAGAAAACTCTGGACTTTGCAGTGTAATTAGTTTTATACATCACTTATTTTGTAGTGTAGGCACACTTCCTTTTATAGGTGTTTGTGAACCAAAAATACCCTTATAACAGCCTAATTTCTATTTCAAAGTCTAGAGTTTTTACAAAGACAAGTTGATTTTAATTGGAGATATTACTTCAAGGACTTCTGATAAGACTGATATGTTCAAGTAGCTGACATTGAATATGTTCATTTTTGTATTGCAGCATTTCTTATCTTTATTTTTTTTCTTCTTATCTTCATTTTTTTTGCTTTTCATCAGGATTGGCTGAATATAGGTTGCTAATATTTATCTAGTGTAATGTCTACTCATAGCAAAAGAAGAGTATTCATCAAAAATATCTGTGTGCTGCGATAAAAAAGCATCATTTCGATTAAATTGTTTTACATATTTGCTTGAGGCATCGTTGAAATTGGGGAAGACTTAAAATTAGGTTACTCTATTGTTTGTGTACAAAAATAACATAATATCAGAACAGAATTGGAAATATCTGATAATAAAAATATTATGAAATGAATTTTGAAAATGCTAAAATTGGCAAATTAATAAAAGAGCAATTTTATTTGCTTAATTTCATTTATGTCAGGGCTGATAGCCTATCTATACCAAGACAGAAAATAGCAAAAACTGGTACAAAAGGTGTTTCCTTCTACCATTTTTCTCAAGAAGCATTAAATTTCTGTAACTACCGAGATTTTTTTTTTACAATTATAGCATACATATCAAACTGCTTCTTTGCTGAGAAAAAGTAGATATTGCTGAATAGTTTGAAGAAGAGAATAAGATTTACTCCCCCCGAAAGCAAGTTAAAACTGAAATGGTTTTACTACCTGCTTATATTTTAAAAAGTAAAAATATTACATACGATTGCTAATTCTTTCACCAATAACTAAATCAGAAAAGTCAAACTGTCAAATAGTTGATTTGTAAAACAAACATTTACATTGAGACTTAACATTTCTTCTTAGAACCTTGTCCAAATTGCTTTTTGCCCTTTTTGTTTTCAAAGCAGAAAAGAATTGAAAGCTAATTTTTGAAGTGATTTTTCTTAGCAGTAAAAATTCTATCTTTTGTATTTTTAAAATAATTTTTCTTTGATTTTCTTTGTAATCTAAAAATCTTAAGTAAATATTATGTAAAGTGAAAGCGCCAAAAATATTTCATTGTAGAAAAAGTTGATAAAAAAATATTATCATCATTACCATTTCGCATTTTAAAAAATAAAGTCAATTTTAAAAAGAAAAAAAATTTGTTTGAATAAAAATCAAACTATCAATCTTTTTTATATTTGCAAACTTGAATTTCTTGAACAATTATTTGAAAAGAATGAGCAATCATTTCAATTTTAAAAAAAATTTGCATTATAAATTTTTAAAGACATTAAACTATATCATATTTTAGAAAGTTTAAATAATATTTTTAACTTTCTAAAATATGATATTCTTAATTTGTAGCAATGGGAGTATTTTATTTATTTTATAATAAAATTTTTTTGCATCTCTTAAAAAATATGTCATTAAAAATTATTTTTCTTATTGTTTCTCACATGCTCAATCATTAAAACTGGTTTTTAAGGAAAATTTTCTATTAAATTATAAAAAGAAGAAACAGATGATAGAATGAACATCTGAATCTTCTATTAAAGTTGTTCTATTATTCATCTTACAAGGTTATAAGGGTAAAGGGATATTAAGAGCAATATATTGTTCTGTTTTGAAAGTTGAAACAATGAGAGCAATCAATTTATTTGATATGTCATTTGACAATTGCAATAAATTATAAGAGATCTTTTAAAAATCACCTAATATACCTTGTTGTTGACGACAATTTTAAAACTATTTATTGAGTTAATTTGATTTATATAATAATTGTTTCCAGTTTATTGTTTATGACAATACATTAAAAAATGACATTTGCTGATAATGACTTTTCGATTCTCTTTTATCCTTTTAAATGTTATAATACTAACTTGGTTCAAAATTCAACCTGTTTTCATGTACAGAAACCCCCATTCACATAAAAGCAATTCCATCATTTATGAATGTCAAATTTGCAGACTCAAAAAGCATTTAACTACGTTTGAAAATTTTTTTAGTATTTCTAATAATTTTTTAAACAACTCTTGGTGTCATTTACACTTACTCCGATTTTTAGTTAACTATCATTAATTTAAAAGAAGTTTTAAACCTTTTTGATGATGTTTTTAATTTTAAAAAAATAATTTCTAAAAGTTAATAAAAATTAGACTAAATGTCTGTAAATGATACCAAACAAATTATTGTAACTACCCTATCAGCAAAATAACTCGGGACCATCTTTGGACCATTATTCAATAATCTTGAGTCAATAAAAGTAAGAAAAGACCACTATTGACCCTATATAGAATTGTTAGACTAACTTAATATTTTATAACTTAATATTATTTTTTACTAACTTAATACTAATATTTAATACTAATACTTAATTTAATATTTAATACTAACTTAATATTATTTTTTAATATTTCTGAGCCCAACAGGGGATACGTAAAATTGGTTAGAGCCTGAGATGTACATTTTTGAAATCCAAATGTTATTGTCCGACCACTTAGCATTTGATGTCTAAATGAATAAATTAATCATTAAAGCCTTTTTATTATCAATAACTAGTAAAAAAAAAAAAAAAAAAAAAAAAAAAAAAAAAAAAAAAAAAAAAAAACTAAGAGAAAATCTATAACTGCATGTGAAAGAGGAATTTTCTACAAGAGCAAACATTCAAGTTTTTTTATATTGTTAATCGCATAAAGCAAAAGCACCAAGCTGAAGTAACAGAACGCTGTAATTTTTTGCCTTGTAAATTTTGCATTTTTTATGCTTAATAATTGAATAAAATATTTGCTTGTTCGAAAATAGTTAAATCACAAGTCCGAGCCTGCACAAAATATTTTTTCAGCAAATGTGTCTGCTTTAGGCTAGGTCTTAGGCTGAACAACCCATCCTATCTCTATTAAGATCATGCAATAATGTGGAGGTGCTTGTACATTTAGTTTTTATGTCAATTTTTAATTACTTGTTTGTTTCTCAGTATAATAAGGACAATACTGATTTATTACTTTTACATAAGTACAGCAAATTAAACATTTACCACAAATATGTATAATATTTTTCAATGTAAAGAATTTAACATTTCTCACTCTTTTTTCTTCTATAGTGAAATAAAAAAACTGCTGGCTTTCAATTTTCTTTGTAGAGGAATTAATTTTTTTTCACCATGAACTTTAATCCTTAATGTTTAAATAAATCTTGAACTATATTTATTTTGGACATGTTTTGGTTAAAAAAAAAAAAATGGAAGGTTAAAGGAATAAAATCTTTTGACAACTAGAATCATTACCTCCATATTTTGATGTTATAATTTTGATGTTTTTTTCTAAATTCTTTCAAATAAATTAAAAAATAGTTCAGTTTTTCGAATCATATTTTAGCTGGAAAGTAAGAGCAGAATAATATTGACTATTCAAGAGTCATAACTAGTTGTGAACCCATACAATATTTGTATATATGCATATTAAGTTATGAAGTTGCTGTTATTAAAATAGGAAGCGAATATTTCAGTTTACTCCTCTTATTTTACTTGACATAATTTCTGGAAGCTTTGATCTTGATCTTTCAAAATGTGCTTTGTGAAACTACTGTTTTCATAGAGTTAATACAACAGAATTGTAACATTGACCAACCCTGTGAATATGTTTTAATATATCTATTATAAAGAGTAATTTTTATCTTTGTATAATTATTTCTTATTTTGACATGTCTTTTGTGAAGGAATCCTTAATGTTTAAATAAATCTTGAACTGTTTTTGTTTTGAACGTGTTTTGGTTAAAAAATAAAAGGTTAAAGGAATACAATCTTTTAATACCTGGAATCATTACCTTCACATTTTGAAATTTCGATGTATTTTCTAAATTATTTTAAATAAATTAAAGAACAGTTATAAAATTTAACATTAATGTTTCTTCTTGTTTTCAATTTGTTATTGATTTTAATAATATCTATCTATATTAAAGACAATAACAAATTGAAAACAAGAAAAAACCTTAAATGGAAAAAATTTTAGAAAGAAGAAATTATGAGATTAAAAAAATTAGTAAAATAATTAGTAATTTAATTAAAAGCTAATTAACCAAAATGAGATATAACCTCTTTCTCAACTCACATGGTTATGCTTGCAAAAGATGCTTCACTTTAAATTTTTCAATTTTATTTATCTATTATTTATCATTAACTTTTAGTTTGGAGTTATATAAATTGCAAGAAGAGCATTTAATTTTTTGAACAGTATATAAAATCTAAGAAATTGAAGTAAAACAAGTTCGATGTAATCAGTTAAATAATTCTAAGCATTTTGTTCTCTTAAAAAAAATTGTTCTTTTCAACACTGAAATTGTCAAAAGTTTAGAACAATAATGGATAAGGTGTAAAAAGTAATACTTGTTATTTGAGGTTTAATGTTCTCTTTCACATTGTCATAATTTTTTTTTTGACTTTCGTCTGATTTACTTTACTCAAATCATTATTGAATCAGTGTGATTTTAAATATAGGGGTCAGACTGATGCACATGACTTTTTTTTTAAATAATAACTTGTTATATATTTTTAATATTATGAATATGTAATTTTGAATTAAAAAATTGTAAGGTTTCTATGTATTAATACTCAAGCTTCTATAATTTTGATTTTAAACCTATGTGTTTATTTCTTTTTAGGTTTCACATCCTGTTCCCTTACTAATCCCATATGGTTTGTTAAAACAAGATTGCAATTAGATCAACGGTAAATATTGAGTGTTATTAGTATCTATTTAGTTGTTATTTTTATGTAGGGTGTTCCAAAATTAACACTGGAAGTATTTTTGATTGATAACATTGGCATGTAATTATAAATTGTGATTTTCTATTCATCCATATTTAAAGTGTACAGCATTTGGTTATGTATGGAACATCCTTCAGTGTTACAAACTCCCAAAAAAGTTCTACTACCTTAAATTGTATAATCTGGGTAGTTAATTTTAATCACTATAACAAAAAAGAATGCCTCAAATCCAAAATATTGCTTAACTATGAAAATATGTTCTTTGATGCAGTGCTTCATTTTTAATAATCAGCCACTACAGTTTTCTTTCTTACTTACTTTTTCTATCTTCTTTTCTTTTAAATTATTTTTGGCAATGTTTTAATGCTCAAGTAGTATATAATTCAAATCTTGTATGAACTTTGGGTGACCCTATGCTTACAATATAAACATGCCTACCTTTTTTTATATTAACTGTTATATTACTTGAAAATGCATTCAAAGAGGCTCTAATAAGAGTCAGTTTAAGTTCCTGCTTAAAATTTTATTTTCCAATTACTTCTGATAAATTGTATTACAAATTTGTAGTGTGTAACATTGTAATAAATATATTAGCCTGATAGATAACAGATAGGATGTTGCATTGATAGAGACTATTGTTTTTAGAATGTAGTGGAGGCCACAATGTAAAATGAAATAAATACAATAGTAAATAATTATAGAATAAATAGTGCTAAAAATATATTAACTTCTTATGTATTAAAGTATAGAGTAAAAAATAATAATAATTTTTTTTTTTTTTGTAGAATTCAAATCAGTAACAGCTTACTAATTTAATATTCAAATTTTAGAATATTATATATTAATATCTACTTGTATTTTTGTAAATACTTGGAGTTATTTGTGTTATGTATAAATGTTTTGTAAATTTTTACAAAACATATATAAGTTGAATTCCTTAAAAATGATGGTAAAAAATCAATTCAGTAATTATATGAAATCACCTAAAAAAAAACCTTTAAAAATGAACTACACTTAATCATATTCATAATTTTTCTACAACTATTTATTTTTTAAATACATTTTTTTAGTTTGTTTTTGTTTTTTAAATAGACTACAAATTGTTGTGCTGTACTTAGTTACAATGAACTTCAATTTTTGAATGCATGCCATTAGCAATCAAAAGTTTGTAAACCATCAATTATAAAATTGTAAGAGAACAAGTATTAAAAACATACTTTCTACTTTTTTTTTCAAACATTACCTTCGAGTTTTCTCTCACAGCTAAGTTCACCGTTATAGCCCTGTATTTTATATTTCAATATTTTACTAATTGATGAAAAAAAAATTTAATAAGAATTTTCAGTTAATTAGCTTAGATCTGGTTTTCAAATGTCAAGAAAATTATCCTATTTTGGACCTCATCATGGAATAAAAATGGACTGTCTACCACAACACTGATTCGGTCACTACAAAAAATTTTCGGCAGCAAAACCCTTACTTCAAATAGGGAGGTCAAAAGTCACCTAACTCAGTTTTTTGCCAGCAAAGAACGAAAATTTTATGTGTCTGGAATCATTTTACTGCAATAGCAAAAGTTATTGGCCCAGAAAAAACTATTGGATTCAATGAAATATTTATTCACTATTAAAAAATCACCTTTCATTTTCATAACAGAATCTAAATTACTTTTGAATGACCTAATTATTCTTAATCACAAATATATCATCATTATATGACTGATCTGATTCTATTAATAAAATTGCTGTGAGATATTAAATTTTTCTGTTTTTTATACAAAATATTGCATCTAGCTATAATTTATGTACTTAATCATGTAATTTATATACTTTTTCATATAATTTATATACTGTATTATGTAACTTTCAGGGACTAAAATAAATTGATGTGTAAAGGAAAAAACATAAATAGAAATTAAACAAATTAATAGAAATTCAGCATTACAATAAGTTTGATAACATAATATCATTGTTAGTTTGGCACTTATTATTATTGATATTGAAAATAATAGAGGTGCTAGGAATTAAAATATTGAAAACAAATCATCTGTCTCAAAAGTGAAAGAAAATTTTATCTTTAATGCACATCTTAAATATACTATTCTTTCGATATTTGTAGATATTTAAGTAAAGAAATTCTTAGAGGAGAAAAATTCTTTTTTACCTCTAAGAATTATTGCAGAGCCTCATTTAGAGTTTTTCAGTCCCAATATTTATGTCCTTAAAAATCTTGGAGGGACGTAATTGCTTTTTAGAACCTTAGCAAAGTTTTGTTTCTTAGAACACCTAATTTTATATATTTTCAATCAAAAAGTTTCATTGCTTATCCAATAAAAAATAGTATATTTCTGATTTAAATAAATTTTGTGTGTGGCATCAATGTAATCTTGAACTTGTTGACATTTTTAAAAACCTGAAAAAGTCTGTGAATTTTATGTCTTTTCTTTATTTGAGTGGGTATCCTGTTAACTGTATTAGCATATTTGTTTCATATTTAATACATAATAATTTTAATGAATGCTTATATTTAGTAGTGAAGTGTGATATTTAATGAATAAATTCTTTTTTTTTTTTTTCAGAACATATGGTAGTGTTACTACAATCCAGTGCATTAAAGATATCTATAATTCTAAAGGAATAGTTGGTTTCTACAAGGGTATCACTGCTTCCTATTTCGGTATCTCCGAGACCATTGTTCACTTTGTAATTTATGAATTCATTAAGGCTAAACTGAAAGAAGGAAGACAGAATGGTTGCTACCCCACTGATCGAAAATCTACAAGAGACTTTGTAGAGTTCATGTGTGCTGGTGCTGTGTCTAAAACCTGTGCTTCCTGCATTGCCTATCCTCATGGTAACCACAACACTTTACTCCTTTAATACTTTTAATGAGATTGTATTTTGAAAGATACGATTGCAGTTTATCTGTACAATTTATTAACTAGAGGATTTTACTTCTAACTTGTTACGTTTACCGTTTCCAATAATTCTGGTGCAATCATTTATGTTTTAAACCCTATACTGATTCCTCAATTTTGAAAAATAAATAGCTAAATAAAACCGCACATCACTGTTTTTATTAAAACGTTGATACATTTTGTGAATAAACGCTACCTACATACACTTTTCTTTTGCTCAAATTTCAGGTATTTTTCAATTAGTTCAAAGGTGTTTTCGCACATAGCATTTTTGTATTTCTATTTTCAGCTTTTTGATTTTTACCAAATTCATCAATATAGAGTTTTAAAAAATCAAAACCATTATTTAGAAAATCTATGAATTTTAAACAAATTTCGCAGAAATGAGGTGGTGACGAAAGGGTTGAAACCAGTCTGGAACCAGTTGCAGGAGGTCTTTTAATTGAGAATTTTTGTTCTCAGGAAGTTTTCCCTTTTATCTAAGTCTACCCGTGTTATTTATCAAAGTTTGCCAATTGGTGTGATGGTATGGGAAGCATCATATAAGACACACGAATCCTCCTAATATTGATGCAAAGAGCCGTGAGAGGCGAGCGGCACGTTTGTTACAACCTTCAGGTAATTGTGTTGGCCCGGAGCTATTTGCTCAATCTCCAGATTTGTCACCGAATAAGCATAACTGGGACTATTTGGGACAACAAATTTGACAGCCTCTGAATTTAGTCGATTTAGCTGTTTTTTTATAGCAACTATGAAATGGGATGTCTTGTCAGGGATGCCAACTGCTGTTTTCTGCAAAAGTTTCAATAAATTGGTAGCGAATTAAATAGTAAAACTTTTAGACTGAGGATAATTGCATACACTCTTTTAAATAGTCACTGCAAGATAACTGCAATAAATTTGCATTATTATGTTACTTTGAATTTTTGATATGTAGTGGTAGAAAAATTACTTAAAATGAAAAATACTAAAACTGAAAATAACTTTAATTTCATTAACACTAGAAAATATTTGTTTGAAAAGCTAAGCATGTTGGCATCATCATGAATTACTTATGTCAATGTTGTATTTACGTATATAAAATTTTGCTTTGTTCTGACAACTTTTTCTAGATGCACTCATTTTTATGGCATTGAGTGTATTTTACCATAGTGGACTGTCGCACCACTGAGTTTTCAGACTTTACGCTAAAATGTTTAAACTAAATATATTTACTGTTATTTAAATTTTTATTCAATAAAGATTTTATGATTTAAAAAATTCAGTTTTAAAAAATTATTTTGAGTTTTTAAATGTCTATTTCTTGATACAAAACTTAATATTTTGAAAAAAAAATTTCATGCATTTTTAAGCTTTACAATCGTGCCATTGTTTTGTGTTCCATTTTAATATTCTTTAAAAATACTTATGCGCTTATTCAATGCTAAACAATATTTGTTTTATCATGTGTAATATTTTTAAAAATATTTCATTGTGGAAGTAAATTTCATTGAAAGTGTAAAAGTTTAAATTATAAATCGTTATTAAAAGTTCTTTTTTTGTTTTCACAGAGGTTGTGCGAACAAGACTGCGCCAAGTTGGCGACAAATACAATTCCTTCTTTCAAACCTTATTGCTAGTTTACAAAGAAGAGGGTCATCATGGATTATATCGAGGATTAGCTACACAGTTGGTGAGACAGATTCCAAACACTGCCATTATGATGGCAACCTATGAAGCAGTTGTCTACCTTTTAACAAACTATTCCTGTTCAGTTCCCTCCATTCAAATGTGTGATGATGAGGAGTCATTCTGAATATAATTTTTGTACAAAAACTCAAGAAACTTTTTCAATTTTTCATGGCATTTTTTCCATAAGTTGTTTTTCATCTCATTAATTTCGGTAAAGTTATATCCTGGTGATTTAGTCTTAAGTTTACAACTCATCATTTCTTAATTTAATTGGTTTTGATGCATTATTTTATCATTTTATGAAAATTCAAAGGAATTTTTTATAATTAATTTTTTTAACATCTTTCAAATTGTATTGAGATTTCTTTTACTATATTACGGTTGAAATTACAAATTTGGTTTTCCAGTGGTTAATGGATTTATTACTAATAAATTTCCTTTTTTGACATTTACTAAATACTTTATCCATTATTTAATAGGGATAGCTTTTTATTGTCAAATTAAATTTAAATTTCTATCTAAATTTGTAAATTATTTTAAAAATAGTGAAATTTAAGTTTTAATTATTAAACTTATGTTATGATTATCAATCTTGAATAACCAATGGGGTTTTTTTTTTTAATAATAATATTGTAAAAAGTATGAATTTTGAAGTTATATTCTGTTCCTAAAATTCTGCTTGTGTCATTAATTCCTTAAACACCTATCATATGCTTCAGTGATAATTTTGTACAGTGCTAGTTATTTTTACATCTGGGAATTTTCTGTATATTATTATTAAACTGTTGGACAACTAGAACAGACATTGTAAAATATTTAGTTTATTTTCAAAAGATTTGACTCTTTATTTTCTTAAGAATGTTATATTAACTGTGTAATTCAAGTTGTTGCAATTATGAAAAACACTGGCTGTGTATATTTGTTTTAAATTTTGAAGTGATGTTAATCACTTAAAGTTTGCTTAACTTATACAAGACTAAAGAATGATTTTATCTTTTTTCTTGCTGATAAACAGAATTTGATAATATGCCTTTAAAAAGTACGATTTAGCTGTTTAATTAAATTGAAATTTTCCAAATTATCGTATTGAAATTTAAAAATTTACCATCAAAATTTTCCAAATTATTGTATTGAAATTTAAAAATTAATCATCAAAAATTTTTCCATGGTTGTATTTAGTTAATTTTATTTAACATTTATAAATTAATTTGTTTTGGTGTTTTATTTTTGTAGAAAACAAGATTGCTGTTAAATGTTTATATGATGAAAGTTTTGTGAGGTTTAGCCATTTGTGGGCATTTATAAATATTGTGAACACATATTGGTGAAGGTATATAAGCAATATTTAAACGTTAAATTCCAAAAAAAAATAGGGGTCTAAAATCCTTAAAAAATATGCTTACATAATAGAACGGCCCCTTATTTTTCTTGATATTGAAGTACTTATTAAGTGATTTCTTAAAGCATAGAGCTTAAAATATATTTTTTAAAAAATAATGCTGTATATATGTGTAAATTTATTTAATAATGAGTAAAAGATATCGATCAAGCTTTTAAGAAATTTTCTTCTGAGAGTTAAAAGTAATATAGTAATTATTCTTTTAGTACATTATTTTTGGTAGAAATATAAAAAGGTCCCATTGTGATATTGTAAGGCAGGTTAGGTGCTTTATCATTGTTTGTAAATATGTTCATTGTTTGTAAAGTTTACTTTTCTAGTCTCATTATCATGTATATAAAGTATTGTATTAGTAATTGTTGGCATGTTGCATTTTTCTTCACAAATAAGCTTAATGCCATTAAATGCAACTTTAATGTAAATATTGTTGTATAGATTGTAAATAAAAGATAAATCTCCAATTTGTTTTAAATTTTATGACAAAGGTATGTTTTTTGCCTATGGCAATTTCTTTATTATATCCATTTCTGACTTATGCACCTTTTGTTAAAAATTATAGTTGACTAACAATGTAAATTTAACCAACTTATAAGTTAATGCCCTTCTCATTTAAATTAACCTATGCCACTCTGTGAATAGACCTAGTTCGAACAGAGAGTTCTCTAAAATGTTAGTTTCTTCATAGGGTACACTTTTTGGTTAATTTTCTAAAATAGGGTGCAGCGCTGAATCAGTTGAATGCTGAAAAATATTTATTCAAAATTATCAAAAAAGGTTGAGAAATTTAATTTTATTAATTTTTTATTCGCAACTATGGCCATATATTAACATTTTGAAAGATAAATATTTAAAATATGATCGAAAATCTAGTCTTCCTTTTTAACATGTTGACTGCCAAATCACCCATGTTCAGGTGACAGCAAAGTTTCTGGTTGGACCGCGTCTCACCTATATTAGGGTGAAGCGTTTTTGACTACTTGCAAAGGATATTCGTACTTATTTGAAAAGATATTTCACAGGAAGTAACAAAGCTATTGAATTATTATAAAAGTAATGCTAAAATGATTTATTAAGAAAATTATTGAGCTTGGTAAAAGCTTTCTTGTTCACTGCAATTTGACTCACTAAGAAATAAGCTTTCAATTATTCTTTTAGAAATTTTAACGAATTAGGGCAGAGATTTCAAGTTATACTACTTTTTACTCGGCAAAGATTCAAACTTATCGAGGCAACGGACACAAATAAACAGACATGATACCATGGAAAGAAATGGAGCGAGATATTATTCTTGCGACCACCAGTCTCTCATTATTAAAATATTGGTGGGAGTACTTAGCAGAATACGCTTCGTTCAGCGGTACTCGTGGCCTAAAGGGGATTTCGCTAGAAACGCGTGGAAGCAGTCAACGTGTTCAAGATTAATGTAACGTTAAAAAAAATATGGCTTTAATGTGAGCTTTTAGCAATTTTACATTTTCTGGATCGTGTTCCACTACTGGCCCATGTTGAACAGGTGCTATGAAAAGTTATAATCGCCGTTGATAAGAAACTGAATATAGTAAAAGGGAGTTGCGTCATCTGCTGTAATATCGGCTAACACGACACAAAGAAAAGAGAGGGGCTATATAAGTTTTCCTGTTATAAATTTGAGAACAGCCATTCTAATCTAGGACACCCTGCAGTTTTAATAAGTTATGGTTTTAGGCGGACAATTTTGTGAGTTTTATTGCCACCATAACTTAATTGCATGATTAACTTAATTGCATTATTTTTTTTGAAGTTCTTAAATATTTCTGCGGCTTAAACTAGTGATGCATTTTATACCAACAGCATGGATCAACAAGACGGGAGAAGTAGTTGCAAAATTTACCCTTTTAATTTATTTCTAGCAAAAATAAGTCATTTTTATCACTAGGCAATTAAATGTTATTTTTAATACTTAAGTCAAAAGCTTCTAATGGTTTAAATATTTTACTGTCGGCCACTGTTATATTTTTAAACCTGGTGTCAGCAAGCGTTAAATTCTAACATTTCATGAATTTGTAAAAGTTTCAATAAATAACGAAAAAAAGGTTGCAACATAAAATCTTCAGATATACTTAATTTGGAATAAACTATGCATTACAATAAGAAACTATTTGCTTACTGATTTTTGTTTTTTGCTAAAAGTTTAAAAATAAAAGCACTAGCTTCCATATGAGCACCTCATTATGGCCTGCAGCTTATTGACTAAGACAAGAATTTTTCAAAAAAGCACATAAAAATTTAGAGGGAAGGAGTTACGTAACTATTTTTTAACTGGAAAATAGTTTTAAAGAAAGATATTTCGAATATGACTGAAAAAGTAAATAGTTTTAGAGTATCTTAAAAAGCTTCAATTGTAACTTCAATTCATAAACACAAAATAAAGCATATTAAAAACCTGTAGTTTAGTTGGACAGGAATTTCATTTTAAGATTCCTTTTGAAAGGGTGGGGTTAGTTTATCTTTAAAATCTTTCTAGTGTTAAATAATTTTCATTTATTAATTTTAGGTTTAATGCTTACAACTTCGTAATTTCAGATTTAAAAAAAAAGTTAACCACATTTGTTGAATAAATAATATAATTAGTTGGATTGGAATAATTAAATAAAGAAACAATAAATTATATTATATAATAAATAAAATAAAATAAGGAATTAGTTGGATTGGAATTCATGAAGCACTGTTAAAAATATTTGTTTTTCTAAGGTGACTAATTTATGTGAACCCTATTTTTTTTTTGTTTACATCAGTGAATAAAATATATTCGCGATTACTAATACTGATTTTCCATAACGCATGCTCACACCCATGTCATGTCATTCCAAAAAAATATATATATTACATAATTCCAAATTATTATTATTTTTTCCCAATTTTAGTAATGTCTTGAATTTTACAATCCATTGATGAACCACAAAATTCGCATTGTCCTCCCAAATAAATTTTATTTTCAATATTTTAGTTAATATCTGAAATGGGAGGGATTTATTTGAATTAAAAAGGATAATACTCTGTGCAAATTGACCCTTAACAAAGAGCGTTAAGAAAGGCAAAACGAATAGACAGTAATCAGAAAAAAAGTTATTTTTATTGCAAATAAAAATACTCAATTGATAAAATATATTAAAATTTGATAGATTTACACAAATCTTATGTACAAAAACAAACTAAAATGTAGAAAATACTGTATGATATGTTACAAAATTACACTTCGATGCAATAAGTTACGTAGCAGCCTGTTTGAAAAAATTGGCTTTTTCTCTAAATGCCGCCAATCTTTGCTTTTTTATTTCTTCTTGGCGTCTTCTTTCCTCTTGCTCAGCCTTCACTTCCTCCTCAAATTTCGATTTGGAGGACTGTTCAGCAATCTACAAAAGATTATTCAGTGTTTCAAATTCTGTTTCCAAGTCTTTGGCATTTGTTTGAAATCACATTTAAACACAAAATAAAAGGCATGTCTGAAATTAAAAGGCAGTTTGAAAAATTTGTTACCAGATACAGAGTTACGAAAGCTATAGGGCCGGTCAAATTATCTTGTGTCTTGTGGATCAGCATTCAATATATTGGACAACATTTTGTACAATTTTATANGTGATTATTTAAAAAAAATCAATTTCCTTCAGTTTTAATTTTGAAAATGTTGAGTAATCATCCGGTTATGTTATAGTTCTTCTTTAACTCAGAGCTACATTTGTTGTGTGTACGTAATTCTGTTACCAAATTATATTTGTAAAACTTTAAAATATAATTGTGCTTAATTAAACAACTTCTTAGAATTTTTATTGACAATTGAAAAAACGCAATAAAATCTTCTATAAATGTGATAAAAAAGGTAAAAGGTATTTTAATTTCTTACCGATGAGGATTTTGAATACACGTGAATGCATAACAATTAAAAAGAGATAATTTTATTGTTATATTTAATATTTATTCATTTATCAATTGTTTTTTTTTAAATTCAATTCAATTTTTTTGTGATATTGTCAAAAGAGTTAAATACTTCAAACAATGCTTTTATTTTGTATTGGATAAAAAAAAAGAGAAAGAATATTAATATTTTATGAAGGGCGCCAGTAAGAGATTTGCCATAGGCGCTTCTTCCCATAGGTACGCCTCTGAGGGCCGGTCAAATTATCTTTTGTCTTGTGGATCAGCGTTCAATATATTGGACAACATTTTGTACAATTTTATAACATAAAAAAGAAATTTTCTGTAAATATACTTTTAAAATGAGATTGTCTGTGAAAAAATGCAATTGGATAACTCTCATTGGTCGAAGTTTTTAATTACATTTAAAAATCACAAGAAAAGAAAGAGTGAAAGATTTAAGTAATATTTTGAACAGTTTTATGGCATTTAAATATCTTATTTGAATCTAGTGGATTTTGTTTCTAACCAAAGGCGAAGAAGTAAATTTACACATATCCCTCAATATGAAAATAAATCTAAAAAATTAAAATTCTAAATTGATATGCAATAAGCATAAAAATTAAAAAAAAAAAAAGTTTTTTTTTTCTTTTTAAATTTACCACTTTATGAATTACTTTTCGTCTGGGCAGTATATTTTTAATAAATTTTTTTTTATTTTCTGCCAATATTTAAAGCTCGGGTTTTAATAGCAAAAACGCCGAAGAGAGATTTTCTTACCCGTAAATTTGATCGAAAGCGTTAGAAACGAAACTGGGTTCAGTTAAGTCTGGAGGAGGAAGGAAAAAGGCATGCTCATTCGCTCATAAACTTACTAGTATCTTCTTAGGAAGAGGAACACTTTGAAATTATCAGAATACGCTTCGTTCAGCGGTANTCATCTAGAAATTAAGTTTATAAAAGAAAAAAATAGTATATTCTTACTACCACATTAAATATGAAAATAAAATCTTCCGGAAAATCCGGAAGAGTTGGCAGGTATGGATATGCAATAAGCATAATAATTTAAATAATTAAAAAAAAAAATTTTTTTTTTCTTTTCTTTTTTTTTTAAATTTACCACTTTTTTGAATTACTTTTCGTCTGGGCAATATATTTTTAATAAAAAAAATTTTATTTTTTGCCAATATTTAAAGCTCGGGTTTTAATAGATTAAAGCAAAAACGCCGAAGAGAGATTTTTTTACCCGTAAATTTGATCGAAAGCGTTAGAAACGAAACTGGGTCCAGTTAAGTCTGGAGGAGGAAGGAAAAAGGCATGCTCATTTGCTCATAAACTTAGTATCTTCTTAGGAAGAGGAACACTTTGAAATTATATTCCTAAGAACGATGCAATGATGAATCAATTGAAGAAAAACTGAAGGATATGGAAACCGACAATTGATTGCATTTCTTATAGGAAACCAAAAATCGTATTTTTACCAAATTTATAAAATTAGTTACAACATTCGTCACCCGATGGCGCACTTGATAAAAACTATCGTGAAATTTTTTTCTTTCTCCCGCTTATACAAATCATTCCATCAGAAATACAGTCTATAACAAAAAAATCGACGCACCAAGAAGCAATCATCCGATTGCTTTGAAATTTCGTATGCATGAATGTTTTGAACAGATATGGCTGAAATGATGCCGACTGGGGACGTATAGTCTTTAGCGACGAATCCCGCTCCCAACTGTGTCCTGACGATCATCGAAGACGTGTTTGGAGACGCACAGGGCAGAGGGGGGATCCTGCCTTCACTATTGCACGCCACACCGGCCCTCAACAAGGCATTATGGTCTGGGGTGCCATTTCCTTTGACAGCCGGACCCCTTTGGTCGTCATTAGAGGTACACTTACTGCACAGCGGTACGTCGACGACATCCTAAGACCTGTTTTGCTACCGTTCCTTTTGCAGCGCCCTGGGCTGGTTTTTCAGCAGGACAATGCCAGACCACATACGGCACGTGTTGCTATGAACTGTCTGCAAGCTTGTCAAACTCTTCCTTGGCCTGCCAGATCACCAGATCTCTCTCCCATCGAGCATGTCTGGGATATGATGGGAAGGCGATTGCATCTGGCACGGAATGTTGATGACCTCGTTCGACAATTGGATCGAATTTGGCAGGAAATACCGCAAGAGACCATCCGGGAGCTTTATCGGTCTATGCCACGCCGTGTGGCAGCTTGTATCCAGGCTAGAGGCGGGTCAACACCTTATTGAACTTGTTACTGTAACTTTGCAATAAATTGTTCAATTGTTCTGAAGTTTTAATCATTTACTATTCTGTACATTGTCTTCCTATCCACCAATTTTCGTTTCAATCGGACAACTCCTTCTTGGTGCGTCGATTTTTTTTTTGTTATAGAGTGTATTTACACTGCCCGAAGTTGATGCAAATGGTTTTTTATCTGAAGTGCCAACTGCAGACGAAATTGAAATTTCTAATTAGTTTCAAAAATTTGAGTAGAATAAATTCTCTGGTTTCATATACAGAAAACAACAGACCGTATTTTTTGTTTTACTACTATTTCCGGTTTACTACGATTTTTCAAAACAGTTATTTTTGGAACAACCGATGAAAAAAAATTATATAAACAGGGTGGCCACTACAGTGAAAATTTTAATAAGTGGCACGGAAATATTGAAGAAACAAATTGTTTCTAATAATTTACATCTACTAAAATGTATTTGTGACTTTATTAGATATATTTAGAAGTTACATCTGATTATCTTCATTAACCAGTGAAATTAAAACCTTCAAAATTTTCAATAATATAAAAAAACTTATCAATACTTTCAAAAAAATTACACAAAAAAATTTCAGATTGTGGCCAAGCTGATAAAATATGGAATGACTCAGTGTTGGTCATATTTGCATGCAGCAAAGCTATTTGTACGACGGGGAAAAAAACTGGTAGTAAAACCGTTAAATTCTTAGCTTTTCTTCGAAAAGAATAATTGTCATAACGAAGACCTTATCAAAAAGTTATTTTTCATCATAGGTTACGATGCCGTATATACGTTATAACTTTTCTTGGTATCCAGGTTTCTATTATTTATTAAAGGCAAAGAAACAAGTAATGATTTCAATACCAGCTCGTTTCCGGTGGTACAAACAGCTCTGTTACAGGTTCTAATAAAGAAAATACAGGATGTTCCGTAATTATTGCCCTTTATATATTTCTTTAAGAATTCTTTTTAAAAATGAATTCAAACTAAGGGTCACAAATTTAAATGAAAATGATCGAAAACCAAATTATTATGTTATTCAACAGGATTTTTTTTCCATATAATCTTTTATTATTATTTTTCAACAGGAAACACCTTATTTTCGCTTCATTCTAAAACAAATTATTGGCAAACATTATTTTGCTGAGATCAATAGTGATTGGTTACAGTTTGAAAAATTTTTTTGTTCCTGAATTAAAATGAGAGGCCCAATATATATAGTTTTTTCCCCTTCATTGTTAGCAAGAACTCTGAAAATATATATTGAAGGATGCAGATATTGTATTTAAAATTTTAAATGTTATAATTATAAAAAATTTCAAATTTCGAAAACGTTTTTAAAAAGTATGACTTAAATTTAGGAATTGAACACAGAATATAAAAATTATTGAATGTAAATTAAATGTTATTTAAATTTCAATATATATATATTTTTTTTTAATTACTGAAATTTGAGCACGCTAGCTTAAAAGTCATGAATCCAACAACTCGGAGGACTTAACTTTAGGCTCCAATTTAAACTAAACTATAATTCTCTCCAAAAAAAGATAATCATTTAATCGTTTGAATATCACTAGATAGTAGAATCCCGTTAAGAGGAAAGAGTATCGCACACTTTCTCACAAAATCAATAAAATCTTATTCATATCGCATATAAAATGTTTGATAATGATTCAAGCAGGAAAGATAGTCGTTTATCTAAAGTCAGTACAGCTCCATTAACTTGAATAAAAATTCCTGGACCTTGGCAATTTGCGTCCAAGAAGTAATGCTTGTTATGAGATAAGAAATGCATAAGAACAATTTTTACAACTAATCCAAAAATTACGATGGAAATTTTGCTTTTTAGAGCCAACGAGTAACCAAAAAATAACTATTCAAAATTTCCGAATTTTTGCGCTTTTGCAAATTTTTTCCCGTGAAAATCATTAAAGTAACTGGGATTTCTTAAATTTTTTTTCTTCAAAAGAAATTTTTTCAACAATTACTTTTACAGACAGTTTATTTATAAATGTTGCAGAATATATTAGTTTTACATACCTTGGCCTCAAAAAAGTTCTTAGCGCCTCCGACGCCAGCTTCCTCAACGTTAATTTCTGTCAGTTCAGCTAACTGAGAGAGACCACCATTCAAATCAAGTTCGCCAGCTTTCGCCTTCTTATAGATGAGCATGAACTGGAAATAAAAAAAAATTTAAAAAGTAAGTCATTACTAAAATGTGTTTGCAAATAACATAACAAAATTTGCCCAATTATGACAATGCAAATGTCAGGGGCCGGGATAGCCTGGTTGGTAGGGCACTGGGCTCATGTCCAAGAGTTCGTGGCTTCGATCCCAGGCCAGCCGAAGACTCCCCGTGTAGTAAATGGTGACTGATGCACGTTAAATCTGTCGAGTCGCAAAGTCCTCCATGTTTACATAATAAATCAATACCTCTGGGGGTACTCTGATCCAGGAGTATCCTTGTCTTCTGGATTGGTTCAAAATTACAAGGCTACGGAATTGAACATTAGTAGTGGTAAACCCAAAAATTGGGGCGGCTGTTCAACGACGGATATAAAATAATATAGTATAAAATATAAAATGGAAATGTCGGAGCTGAGATGGCTCAGCGCATAAAGCACTTTCCTTTGAGATGATCCGGGTTTGAATTTCAGCGATAGCTGGTCGATATGAATTTAGCCCAGACCACAGTGCTGACGCAAAATATCCTCGGTGATAAACTGATAATGGGTTAGAGTCCCCTTGTCGTTAGGCTAATCATGGGAGGTTCGTGGTTTTCCACTCCATGTAACGCAAATGCGGGTTAGTTGCATCAAGAAGTCCTCCGCCACGAAGGCAAATTTCGCCCAATACTTGATCCAGGAGTTCCCTCCCTTGTCTTCTGGATTAGGTTCAAAATTACAAGGCTACGGAGTTGAACATTAGTAACAGTAAGCCCTTGGGTCGGTTGTTCAACGACGATTATAAAATAAAATAAAAAACAATACATGTTATATGCTTTATTGTAGTTTTATCAAAAAACCGATCAGTTTTACCAAAAGCTTATAACGCCGGCCATAAAATAAAAATTGCAAATGTTATTAAAGACAAAGAAATTTTTCACTTTTACCCTAGCATCCTAACACAGATTAAATGTCATTAAACAGAGTTAGCACTGTTACCAAGCATGCAGGTAAGGTAAAAACAGATAAAAGATTTCAACCTTTAAACTGTTTTAATGCCATTTGCTTTTCCATCTCTTCCTGTTTTAAGTATGGTGATATTTAAGAAGAGAAAACAAAATTAGGAAAAGCGGTATGACTCCTTTATTTAACACATTTCCTTTACATAAAACAAAAGGAAATGGAAGAACTAAACCAAACGTAATGTCAAAAACAAGGCGCACAAAATACCATATTGCCTTATGTTACGACAGAAATAGATAACGAGTTATTCATGTTAAATATCTCTATTAAACGACGTTATAAAGTCTAATGAAAATAAATTCAAAAAAAGGTAACACAGGACGAAACATATGCTCAGTGGCGAGTACGAGATACGCACTCAGTGAGGTTGAAAGTCTCGCACATTTCACGAAATAGTAAAGTTGTGAATTTTAGTTACAACAAACTAATATTTTTAGATCAACGCGCCGCCAAACCACTGTACTAAAAAAAATTAATAGGCTAGTATTACCGCCACCAACAAGTCAAAAATATGTGAGGGATCTCCTGAGGTAGGACAGTAGGTTTATCTCAAGGTCGTAGGATTTTTATTGTATGTAAAAGTAATTTAATCTTATATTACGATAACAATATCATTTATGGAAGGTAATGCATTCAAATAATCTTATACAAATTATATGACATTGGCCCGACATTTTGCCTTAAAAGTAAAAACATCAAGGGGGGAAAAAACAAAAAAACAGTAGATTAACTCATTTCAATTTTAATTTTAAATGCATAGGCCAGATTAAAATCTTAGCTCGCCACTGTTTTCACGAAAAATGAGAGCAATTTTTAAAAATTTTAACAAATATATATCAAAGAACGTTTTGGTGGTCAAAACCATAAAAGGATGTAGAAACTCATAACTGTACAAAATGTTCTAATCATGAGGAAATTTGGAAAATTCTTTGAACGTTCTTCTCTGTCGAACTTTTCCATCAGAGTCAAATGTTAGTGAAGTCAGGGGTCTGTCTAGGTTTTTCTGAGAGGTACCTATTTTGTGAAAATTTAGNAAGGAGAATCATTTACACCCCTTTTACTTATCTCACTGGGTGGGAACCGTGGTCGAGTTCAAGTGAAAAACCTTCCTTCTGAAAACTGCCGTAACAGGGGAACTCAAAATCTCAGACCCTACCGGAATGAAAGAGTTAAAGAACGTTTTAGTGGTCAAAATCACAACAGGACGTAGAAACTTATAACTGTACAAAATGTTCTAACCATGAGGAAATTTGGAAAATTCTTTGAACGTTCTTCTCTAATGAACTTTTCCATCCGAGTCAAATGTTAGAGAAGTGAACATTAACTTGAATTGCCCACCTTTATAATACAACAATAACACACTTGATCATTAAATAGATTTGGGTTTAATTACACGAAGAGTTTCTTTTTATCTTTCAAAGAGTTTCTTTCCATCTTTCAAAGAGTTTCTTTCCATCTTTCAAAGAGTTTCTATCTTTCAAAGAGTTTCTTTCTATCTTTCAAAGAGTTTCTTGCTATCTTTCAAAGAGTTTCTTGCTATCTTTCAAAGAGTTCCCTTCGATCTTTCAAAGAGTTCCTTTCTATCTTTCAAAGAGTTTCTATCTTTCAAAGAGTTTCTATCTTTCAAAGAGTTCCTTTCTATCTTTCAAAGAGAAACATGCAGAGATGTTAAACAAATTTGATAAAAGATTTCTGTCTTGTGAATTTATGTAAATTTTTGCGCATGTTTTGTTAATCTCCTTCTTAAAGTCAGACTCCTGATCACCATTTTTTCATATTTGTCCATAGCAAACTCTGGTAAAATATAGTGGTTTGGAGCTCAATATTGAACAAGACAAAATTTACTCCCCAGCCCAACATATATGCTAGCAAATTACAAGCTGGCGAACGGAAATTTCGTGCCTTAAAGTAGATCAACTTAAGGCTTCTATACTATGTTTCAGGAGTTCTAGATCAACTGATTAAATAAAGCACAATAATAAAATCTGTTATACTGCAGCAAATTTTAACAGTATTAAGTACTAAGCCGTGATGGTTCATGGGAAAGAGTGTTCGCCTTCCAATGAGGTGAACCGGGTTCGAATATCAGCGGTGGCTGGTAGATACGAATTCCGCATCTGGCTCTTACCGTCCACAGGGCTGACGTAAAATATCCTCAGTGGTAGACGGATCATGGGCTAGAGACCCTTTGCCATCAGACTAACCGTGGAAGGTTTGTTGTTTCCCTCTCCATGTAATGCAAATGCGGGTTAGTACCTTCAAAAATTAACTTCTCGAAGGCAGAATTTCTCCCAATACTTGATCTTCTAGTTTCCTTGTCTTCTGGATTCAGTTCAAAATTACAAGGCTACGGAGTTGAACATTAGTAGACGTAAACCCAAAATTGGGTCGGATGTTCAACTACAGTTATAAAGTATTAAGTACTGAACAAAACATTAGGTGTTATAGTCTTGTGAAAAAAAATCACAGGAATACATCGTAGTCATGAGTTCCGAGTTATCAAAAGAAAAAAAACATCTTGTGGATATGTTGTTGACATTGAGTAGTTCTAAAAAATTTTTTGATTAAAATATTCAGTAGTATTTTTTAAAAAAAATTTCCGTTGAATAACAATGATAAAAGGCCATCCGGAAGTTTTGAATTAGTGAGTGAATTGTGTAGAACTCGGTAAAGAATTTCTTAAAATACCTCTCTGAAGCTTATTTTGGCATCTCCGTCTTCGTCCACTTCTTTTATCATTTCTTTCAGCGCCAGATGGGTTTGTGGTGCATTCAGGGTTTCCATCATTCTTTTCAGTTCTTCCAAATCTATAAAACCATCTTTACCAACATCGAACCTTAAAGAAAACATATCTTATTAAAAAAATGTCAAAACGAATTTTCAGAACTGATAAAAATTAATATATAGAGTGCTTGTAAAGAAATGTTTATGAATATCAATGCATTAAGCTAAGTGCAATTTAGTTAAGCAGAGGCGAATCTCTATTCTTCCGTACAATTGAAAAAACAACTGTACATGGTGCTACACGATACATGGCCGTGCAATACAAAAACAGGGAGCGTAGCGAAATTATTCAACAAAAAATAAGCACCTTTTAAGCATTCAAAAAATATTTTTAAGCACTTTAAAAAAATATCATAATTAGGTGAGATTGGAAAGTTTTTGACAATCGACGGTTTTATCTTGTTTAACCTACATGTCGAAAAAAAAAACCTTTTGGCACTGTTTTTGGCAATTGTCAAAAATCATGAAACATTGAAACATGTAAAACGAATGGCGTTTTCATACGCTACGGCCCGACAATACGCCGAAGTAGATTGATCGGGTTTAAATAAATTGTGAAAACGTTAAACAGAACAATGTGAAACTGTGTCTTTTTGCATAATTCGAAGCGAAAATCAACATGGTAAAGGAAAAATCTCATTTCGAAAAAGATAAAATTAAGCACTTTTTAAAAACGCTACGCTCCCTGAAAAATCAACGTCAGCGATAAAAAGTTCAAAATTGAAATTTTTATATATTTGGCCTTTTCTATAATACTACTGAAAAAATAAAAAATAATTTGTTCTATCAGTTTTTGAAATTCTGTTTTAGAGTTCATAACATTAGCAATAGAAAGAAAATAGTTGTCAAGTCATTTTTCTCGAAATCACTCGTAAAATACGTTATTTTTTCAACTGCAAGGCAGGATAGATCAAGAAAATTGGCTTGTCAACTGTTGTTTACAATATTTTCTTTCTATTGCTATAAACACCATAATAGAATTTCAAAAAACTGGTAAAAATTTTTGAAAAAATTTTTTTTCAGTTTTTTCTGCAAACATTTTCAATAAATAACTTAAATGCAAAAATGGCAACTATATAAAAATTAATTTTCATTTATTTATTTTTTATTTTTTTGTCGTTTTTGTTGACTTTTCGATTACAAATTGCGATCATCTTTATAAGCAAAATAATCTAAATACTTTATTTCACAGGGGTTAGTTAAAGGAGAATTCGAGGTCCATAAGAGTAATTCATAATTTTTATTAACAAAACGAACTCCACACAAAATATTTTAGCTTAAAAACAAGTCTTCACAATATTTTTTTCAAAAACAGAATCACGGCATATATAATTCCTAATAAAAAAATAAATGAATAAAACAGGATATTTTTTTAAACAAACAGAGCCCTGACAGAATCCGATTTTACGGTAATTTGAGATTCAGATAATTACAAATAGATTCTTCTCAAAACATCAAAACAGGACCTTGTCAGTACAGATCATTAAAATATCACAATAACAGGACCTTTTACAAAAAAAAAAAAAAACTAGTTTCACAGGGTAGGGCTTAAATACAGTACCACTATTATTATACAATTTTCTTCAGACACAACATCAATATTATTTAGAAAGTAAAGTCTGGAAAATAGCTGAAAAAAAGTTCGAGTCTAAACATAATTTAGAATAAAATTGCGAAGTCTAAGATCGCCTGGTTGAAGATCTCCAAAATTTTTTAGTATTATGGTATTTGAGAAATTTCGCCTGACATTAGTAAAAAAAAAAGTAAAAAAAAGTACCACTCCGCTGAAAGAGTAGGAAAAAGAAAGTTTTTGCAAATAAACGTTTTTTCTTTCTTTCAAGATAACCTAAGGAGAGCTTTTTAACAAGCGTAAGACTGTAAAAAAACAAAATAATAATAGATATATGTTAGTTTTAAACAGTTTAGTAAAATGCTAATTTCATACAAAAAAAAAATATGTTTTGTATTTTATTCAGAAAATTTCTCATCAATCAAAAAAGTTTAAATTTTGAGTCACAGTTGGAAAAACCACAGAAAAATTAAAGAATATTTTAAACAAAAATAAATAAATCAGGAAACAATTTAAAATACCCCTAATTAAGTCGTAAGTAGCAGATAGAAAATAGCACAACTTCCCTATAGTAGTAGCATCTATTTCTTTCTCTTTTTTTTTTTTTTTGTNTTTTTTGCAAAAAATAGAGGTTGAAATAAGAATGAATCGAAACAAACATCTCTTTCTTAAGTTCATCAGAAATGCATCTCACACTTGAAAATAACGAGAAAAGAATTGGTTTTAATGACTGATATTTATTGAGAGCCAAAAATAGAAACAATCGATGACTATATAAGGAGTTGTACATTGTTTTTTGTTTCAAAACAATATCCGAGGTGTTCGATTTTAATTTTAAAACGAGCACAATTAATTTTCAGAAACTCGAGAAATAATTTCTCAACAAAGGATTTAAATTCAAATTTTTTTTATTTTTCATAAAACTTTGAGGATTTTGTTTTGCCCTCCCCCTCAAATAGACTAGTAATTTTACTATTTAATTACAAAAATAATAATTTTATTACCGGCTTTGAACAGCCGACCTTATTCTAAGTTTATGATTATCCATGTTAAATACTGTAGCTTTTTAATTTTGAACCCGTTCCAGAAGACAAGGGAACTCATGGATCAAGCATTGGTAAAATTAGCATTCGTGGAGAACTTTTTCATAACTCTAAGGATATATAACGTTAACACTGTGGTCGGCACTGAGCCTAGAGCAGAGTTCGCATTAATCAGCCACGACTGAGATTGGAACTGGGGTCATCTTAATTCGGAGACGAACTCGTTATCCAAAGCAAATTATATAGAAAATACAGCACAAAATCAAGATGAATAACTGAAACCTTTGATATATTTTTCTTAATACTTAAATTTCTATATAATCTTTACAGTATAATAAATCAGAAGTTTTAGAGTAAAATCTATAAGTTAAATCGACTTAGAGTAAAAATGTAACTTTCGATTGAAAAAAAAAATTGAATTATTTTTAAATGGGAAAGTTTATCATAAAGAAAGTCTCACATGTATTTTTTCAGACCTTAAAATAGGAAATTTTAAAAAATACAAAGGCTTCGTAAAATAATCGTAATGTAATAACACAATAAGTTTTGTTTTATTCCAATATTTATCAAAATAAACAAATTCTTTTTAAGAATGAAGTAGGCTTATCGAATCATGATTAAATAAATAAAAAAAGTGACAAATAAAATAAAAATTATCAAACTCAACAAAGTGGTTAAGATTAGAAACTATAAATAATTCCTAGGGATTATTCCAGTTTAATTACCCAGTAGTATCGATAGAGAGGAGAAAGAAAATGATTTACAAAGTAACAGGGTTAGTTACAAAATAATTTGATACATTATTTGAAGAAAACTATTCATAAGCATTCAAATTTGGTAATTAGTTTTTTTTCTGAAGAATGAATAAGGAAGAGATGTGTTTTCGCTGTTTTTTGTCAGAGAGGAAAAAATAACTAATAGAATAAAAATAATAGAGCACCGTAAAATTAACTTTTAAAATATTCGAGTGCAAACAAGAATTGAAAAAATATTTGAATTCGTTTAAGCTTTATGTAAATGTTGCTTTAAGTTATACTGCTGGTTTCGAAATTGTGGAGCCTTAACCTCCATGAGTCAAAACGGAATGCAGCGGAAATGCTTTACTTTTTAGGTAAATTTAAGATTAATTTAGTTTTATAGGATAAAATATTTATTAATATAAACGCGAGAGTTAAAAGAGAGAATTGCAGTAATAATCTCTTTCAGCGATTATTAAGTGATGTTTTATAAAATGAAAACTAAAAAACTAAACAAAAAAAAAATTTCAAAAGGAAAAAGTAGTTTCAGAATTATTGAAAAAGCAACTTAGTTGAAAGTTGATTCTTAAATAATTCTGGAACTACTTTTTCCTTTCAGTTCCAGAATTAGTAACCAGAATTATTCTGGAACTACCTTTCACTTTTAGTTCCAGAATTATTTAAAAAAACAACTTTCAACTAAGTTGTTTAAATAATTCTGGAACTACTTCTTCCTTTTGTTTGTTTTTTAAATAATTCTGGAACTACTTTTTCCTTTTAGTTCCAGAATTATTATTACCCAGAATTATTCTGGAACTACTATTTCCTTTCGCTTGTTTTTTAAATAATTTTGGAATTACTTTTTCCTTTCGAACTTTTTATATTCCTTTCAATACTTTTTAATATTAAAAAGATTTTATTTTCTCTTTCTTAATTAATATTACTTAAATGGAAGCACACAGAAAATCAAGTTGGACGTACCTGGATTACATATAAAATTCTGAGAAAAAATTCTGCGTTTCGTTTGTTAAGCATTAATACGACTATCTCTATAATTTTCTGATACATTGAGCGATCCAGAACATGAAACTCATAACGAGATTTAAATGAAGCGCATCTCTAAATAAATAAACAAACATGAACGACCTCGTGAACACAGAAAATGGCATGCTGAACTCGAACCGAAAGAAAAATCAAATTGGCAAGCAGAACTTCCCCAAACAATTACGCATTGAAGCCACTTCTTTGAAAGAAAATTAACCAGAGGGCAAGGCAGATGAGTGAGAAAAGAAAAAAAATGATATATTCATGCATTCGACCGAGATCTATAAAGAAAAGGGGGAAGTTTCGGTTTCGGACGAATCTCGAGGAAAAATGAAATCACGCNCGTTGAATAGAACAAACAATGTGAACAGTGTCTTTCACTCCTTCTGCATAATTCGTAGCGAAAATCAACATGGTAAAGGAAAAATCTCAATTTGGAAAAGGGAAAATTAAGCACTTTTTAAAAACGCCCAATGAAAAAAGCACCTTCAAGGGCTTTTACACAACGAAAATCGAAAATAAGCACCTTTAAGCACTTTTTAAAAACGCTACGCACCCTGAATTAACATTACTTAATTTGAAACTCAGAAAAAATCAAGTTGGATATACCTGGATTACACATAAAATTCTGAGAAAGAATTCTGCGTTAACGCATTCA